GAAAGCAACATTTGAAGGAATTATTGTGAAAGAATAACTGTGAATAAATGGATGCCTACAAAACTTAAAATGAATGTCAGTTACATTGTTCCATGTCTCAAAAAGTACCATTCTATCTTGCTACAAGCATCACCATCTAGATCCAAAAAGCTTCAGATTCATAAACATCCTGTGCCTGAAATAACCTGAAGAGTCTATTATGTGAAGCAACAAATAAGGTCTGGTGGAAGCCAGAGGGAAAATTTAGATTCTCAAAAGTAAGAGGACACATTTTGTCCAGCAATAGAACAAATGGAAATAATCCAGGCTGAAGAAACACTGGGTAGGAAATACATATTGAATCAACCTCAACATTTTCAGCCCTCTGGACTTAAAATATTATTTTCATGCAAATTTTAATGGCTTAGGGATTAGGGCTTAATGCAAAATTAGTTTGCCTAAGTGGCTGTGTCTCTGAGCCCAAAGAAGGTCACACAGATGCAAGAGCATGCCCTGCCTCCGGAGCACAGCACGGGTCCCCACGCCTTTTGGATCACTTACTCTATCCACGAAAAAGGTGGCGTCCGCTCCTCTCCCTTGCATGTTATAACTGAATAAAGATGTGCGTTACGGCACATATACAGATACAGAGAACTTAAGGGAATGAAATAAACAGCACGTTAACAGAAGTTCTACTTTTTCTTCTCACCCTCTTGTACAAGCCCAGCTACATCCAACTTGGGAGAACACCGGTCTATGCGGGTTACCACGCACTGAGCAAGTAGCCATGGAGAAAAGGTTGTGTATAAAATAAAACAAAAATATTATCATTTGAGCCAGCATTTATTAAGCACTTATCTGTGCCAGGTACTGTTCTAAGCAGTCTTGTGTGCTTTAACTCATTTAATTCTTATAATTACTCTATGGGCAGGTTGCATTATTAACTCCCATTTTATAAAAAACATGATTGATGCACTGAAAGATGAAGTATCTTTCCTGAGGTCACACAGCTGGTAAGTGCTGGATCCAGGCTGCCTTTTTTGTGTGTGTGTGTGTTTTGTTTTGTTTGTTTTGTTTTGTTTTGTTTTAGTTTTTCTCCCCACCTACACATATATACTCCCCCTACCCTCAAAAATCCCTCTTCAGTGTGGCATATTTGGTACAATCGATGAACAAACATGGACATATTATTACCAACCAAAGTCCACAGTTTACATCACTCTTGATGCTGTACATTCTATGGGCTTTGACAAATGAATAATGACATATAGCCACCACTGTAGTATCATGCAGAATAATTTCATTGCCCTAAAAATCCCATGTGCTCTGTCTATTCATTCCTTCCTCCCTCTCCCCACAGGCTGCCTTTTTAAAAAAATAAACCTTTTGTTTCAGAATAAGTTTTAATTTACAGGAAAGTTGCAAGGATAGTACAGAGTTCTTATAGATCATCACACAGCTTCCTTCAGGGCTAAATCAAATGTACCAGGGTACATTTGGCAAAACTAAGAAAACAACATTTGTACATTAACTAAATTCTAGGTCTTATTTGGATTTTACTAGTTTTCCCACAAATGCCCTCTTTCTGTTCCAGGATCTAATCCAGGGATACTATCCAGAAGCGGTACCCCTTCTGATACTGTGCATCCGTCACAGTAGGATGTGGAGACAGATACAGATATTGTGCCTGCACTTGCAGGCGACTGTCTTCTCCCTGATTCTGCACATCATCTTTCCTCTACACATGTCTTTCTCTGTGTCCACATTTCCCCCTTTTATAAAGACACAGTCGTATCGGATTAGAGCCTGACTAACGACCTCATCTTAACTCTATCGTCTACAAAGATTCTATTTCCCAAAAAAGGTCACATTAACAGGTACTGAGGGTGAGGACTCTGCATTTTGGCAGCCGGTGGTGGGCGGGGATGTCACAATTCAATCCATAACCAGGCACATCTGAAATCAAGAGGGCAGGCCAGGAAGGGCAGGCTAGAGATTCAGGCAAGCCTGAGCTGCTGTCTACAGGCAGAATTCCTTCTACTTCAGGGAATCCTCAGCTCTGCTCTTAAGGCTTCCCATCTGATTCAGTCAAGTTCACCCAGATTATCTAGGATAATCTTCCTTATTTAGAGTAAACTGACTATGGACTGTAATCACATCTACAGAACACATTCACAACCACATCTAGATTAGTGTTTGAGTAACAAGTGACTACAGCCCAGCCTCACTGACACATAAAACTGACCATCACATATTATAATAATTTAGATTCATTTGCCAGAGTCGGCTTTCCACAGGATGCTTTTCGAGGCCCTTTTGAAAATCCAAACCAACCCCAGAAAGTGCTGTAACCACGAGCATCACTAGGAAACCTTATGCATGTACTCACTGATGCCAGACATGCTCCCCATGCATTATCTCATTTAATCCTAGCAAGAGCCCCATGAGATAAGGGTGCCAGCCCCACCTGACAGACAAGGAAAGAAAGAGACTGGTGGTGGCAGAAGCAGGATTGGAACTGAGGCAGGTGTGTCTGGCTCCAAATCTTTGGGGCCCAAAACCTTCACCACGATGCTGCAATGCCTCCCTGACCCCAACTGAGTCTTCTCAAGCATACACAAGAAAAACTCCAGGGGGCAGTTTTAAGCATTTAAAAGTCGTATGATTTTCACTTATCCAAAATAATTTCATTTTTAACATCAGCGCATCAGGTTTTTTTTTCATGAGGACAAAGTTCCCTTTGTCACTTTTTCCAATTCTTTTTATTCTGATAAAATACACATAAGTTTTGATTCCTTAACCATCTTTAAGTGTACAGTTCTCCCTCTGTCTTTTGCAGTTAAACAGGTCTTCTGCAAAGCCCAGACACGCCTCTAAAGGTGGCTGGATTACTACTAAGGCTGTGATGACACCTTCCCTGGCTAAGAGCAGAAAGGAAAAACCTGGAATAAGAAATGTTCATAGACCAAGGGCAGTGGGCTTGGCAAGGTGAGTGGAGTGGGCAGGTGAGACGGGAGGTGGGGGAGGGCACAACCAGTGAAGGAATGACACCGCAAGGGAGGGCAGGAGAGACTGGTTACAGCCAGGATGGCGGAAGATTTGACTTCCAGTAGACCTTGAGCCTCAAGGCACACCCACGGGCACCACGACAGTTCTAGGCTGCTTGTAAAAGTCAAAAAGTAGGTGGGGGTCGGGGGCATCCAATTCCCTGGAAATTGTTGCTCCTTCCCCAAACTAACTGGAATAATCTTTCTACTCATTAGCATGTGAACCGAACCCATGAAAACTAAAACTTTGCACCTCCTGGTCTCTCTCTTTCTGAGACAACCCGCACTTTGTCTATGGAGTGTGTGTCTACTTTTACTTTGAACTAAACACCCCAACACATTTCGGCCTCTCTCCCTCTTGCCTTCTGAGACAGCCTCCATTCTGCCTATGAAGTGTGTGTCTCCGAAGCTGTTTTCCCTTCTGAATGAGACAGACCCCACTCTGTCTATGGAGTGTGTATCTCCCTGAATAAACTTGCTTTCACTTCGCTATGCCTTGCTCTTGAATTCATTCCTGCACGAGACAAGAACCTATTCTCCAGCAACACAAGGTCCCCAGGGTTGTGCCTGCACTGATGGCATGTTTGGATGGCAGCTCTTAGCTGGGTGGCAGAGGTCATGAATGCAACAGGGCCTGTGCAAACCTCTACAACGTTTCATCGAGGGACAGTGTACTGTACAACTTTCCTTCCTGTCTTCCCAATCTTTAAATTACTGTCAAGTCCTCAAGTGAGGATCGTGATAATAAACTAAAAGAGAGCAGAAACCATCTTGGGTTGCGTGTGGATTACCAGAATGGCAGTTATGGGAAAGCAGTCCCCTCCACCCTACCCTCTGCAGGCAACGAAGAACTTACAGTCCTGAAACTTTATCATTAACCACCTGGTGACCCCCCAGCAATGTCCAAGATCCAGGTGAGGTCACATTTTCTATCTTTCACTACTTTAGACATGTTTTAACAGAAAGGGTTACAAGATGGTGTCCTTAAAATCACTGCAGAGACAGGAGGACAGAGTCGTGGGACAGTGGAAGGAGCCTCCTTGGATGAGGGGCCCCCATTCATCCGCTCTCACCTGCTCACCTGCAGCCAGCTCACTTGCAGCTCTGCTCTGCAGATAAGCGCGTCAAAACCGGGTCAGACTTTCAAGATGGAACGAGGAATTCCACAACCCTGGCAATCTGTCCAGTCTCCTCCACGTGGCCCACACAACCTACCCCACCACACAGAGGAGATCTAATGCCTTGCCCTCCTTGGGGTCCACAATTACTGCTCAAATGCCACTGGGAACAACAGTGACCCAAAGCAACCCCAGACACCCGTGGGCATCTTCAGGAAATTCTCTCCAGCTTTCCAGTCAGAATGTGAGACCCATCTGAGATGAGGACTAGATGTCTCTCTCTTCTGCTACAGGAGCTCCCCTGGAGTCAAGGGTGTTACAATGTGAGGCTAATTACTGTAGCCTTTTAATATTCTCTTCTCCGAAGCCCTCCCGGGAAGGCTAAAATAAAACACTGCATGGTAATAGGTGAAATGAACGGCGGACTGGGAACCTTCAGTAGCTGCGCGACCTTGGACAAAGCAGTTGACCCGGACTTGTGATCTCATTAACACAAAAGAGACAGAGGGAAAAGGCCCCTTCCTCTCGCGTGCCAGGGTGCGGAGGCTCCGGCCGGAGCCGCGCCGTCAGCACACCCGAGGCGGCGGCGCGCCTGTGGGGGAGGCAGCGCCTGGCAGTTCTCCCCGACACACGCCCCGCAAGTTCCGTTCAGCTGACAGCCTCAATTTTATTTGCCCAATGACTTCTGTTTTGCTTTCGTTGTGAACTATATCCTATGCACAGAAGGGTGCAAAAAGCATATGTACAGTTTAGAAACTAACAACAACATGAACACCTGTGTATTTGTCACCGGCAAAGCCCATGAACAATTCCCAGGAAATAAAAATAGAGTCTGGGTAAGAAAATAAAAGCTAACCTTTTTTTCCTTTCCTTTGTGCTTAGCCTAGTTTCACTTGCTCAAAGGGTGTCGCCTGCAGAGGCCTTGCTCGCAACATTTCAGTCCAGTTCCTGGTACGAACTGGCTGCTGGGGGCCGCTCCGCGGAGGACCGAGGGCAGAAGCCCTGGGCGCCGCACGACAGTCCAAGATGGCGGGGCCGGCCGTGTGCAGCCGCGGCCCGGGCACTGCCGTCTGGGGCGTGAGCCGCGTGCCTGCGCCTGCGCCTGCGCCGCGAGACCCCCGCCCCTCCCCACGGACGCAGGCCCCGTGAGGCAGCCCCGCCCACAGCCTGTCCAGGAAAGCGTGGACTCTAGGGCCAGAGCTCCCAGCTCTCCATTCTCTGATCAAAGAATAAAGGCTTCCTTTGCTTCTGAACCAAACTCACTGTCATTCTGTTGGCTCCAACGACCCCGGCAGGAGGATCCTTGCTGGTCGGTAACATATTCACCACTCAGGAATAGAAATAGACTCTTACCATGCCTTGAAAGGCCAGCGTGCCTCCTCAAGACCACTTTCTCCTTCCTCTGCAGAGCTAACCTTACTAGCCTGATTTTTGTGTTAATGGTTCTGTCTTGCCTTTTCTTATCACCTGTGAATATGCCTCTAAAAAAAGAGATAAATTTTGTTTCTGACATTTATGTCAATGCAGTCATGCTGTGATGACTTCATCTGTGACTTGCTTCTTGTGCTCAGTTTTGTTCCTAAGATTCCTTTGTGTTATCGAGGGCAGCTGTGTGCGGTGTGTTCCTTTTCACAGCTATATCGCATTGCTTTCATATCCTGAGTCAAATATAACAGAATTTATGCATTCATTGTACTGTTGATGGGCATTTGGGTTGTTCCCAGTTTGGAGCCATTAAGATCAACGCAGCTATGACTGCCCTTCCATGTGTCTCCTGGCACACGTGTGTAAGAGCTTCTTCAGGTACCTGTGGAATTGCTGGGCCACAGCGTTGCTAGGCAATACCAGGTGAGGCTATCCTGTCTGTCAAAGTGGTTGTGCCGATTCATATTCCCACTAGCAGTTAGTAAGTTCCTTGCACACCCTCAACACTACCAATTACCACCTTGGTGGTTGTTTTTGTTAATTTGTTACTGTAACTTGGCTTCTCATTGTAGGTGGTAATCTTTTGATCTTCTGTATGAATTTAAGAATCTGCTGGTCATGTTCTATCAAAAAAAAAACCAACTTCCTACTGGAATTTCATTAACTCTATAGATCAAAAACGGAGGAATTAACATTTGACATCGTTATACTGTTTTTTCTATTCAAAAATCTGGTACACATGGTGTATATCTGCATGGTTTTAGGACCAAGACTTTAGGACTAAAGTCCATCAGTAAGGTTTTAGAGCTTTATCTATAAAGATTTACATCTCTTATAAATTTATTACTAAGCATTTCATATTTTTATTGCTAGTATAAACTTTCTTTTAAACTTACATTTTTCTAGTTGCCTCTGGTATATAGAAACGCAACTGATTTTTATTAACAATTTTATATGCAGACATCTTGCTAAACTCTTATTAACCCTAATGATTCATATATAGATTATTTTGGAATTTCTACACCTGCAAATAGTGACAGTTTTGTTTCTTCCATTCCAACTCTTAGACTTTCCATTTCTTTCTCTTGGTTCACTACCCTAGCTATGACCTCCTGTACAGAAGTGGGCCTCTCTATCTTATCCCTTGAACTTGAACTTACGATTCTTAATAATGACGTTTGCAGTAGGTTTTCAGGAGGTCCTTTTCCAAATTAACAAGTATCTCTTCTATTCCTAGTTTGCTTTAAGTGCATTCCAGAAGTTTTAAAGCATCATATTCAGTTCTGTGTATTTTTAAATTTCCATTATGACATCTTCCTTGATCTGTGAGCTTTTAAAGTGTGCCTTTTGTTTCCAAATGTAAGGTTTTGTCTCATTATATTTTTGTCATTTGTTTCTAACTTAATTGCATTTGAAATTTATTCATAGGAAATTCCATGAGTGCTTAAAAAGAAGCAATAATCTCCGACTGCAGAGTGCAGGGTTCTCCATAGGCCCGTTTTATCAAGTTTATTAGCGTGTTCTTTAAATCTTCTATATCCTTACTGATTTTTATCTGTTCATTCCATGAATTACTGAGAGAAGTGTGTTGTAATCTCCCACCAGCATAGGGGATCGGTCTGGTTTCCCTGGTAGTGCTGACATTTTGTTTGCTTTGTGTATTTTGAGGCTATGTGCACACATATAAATTTCATATTATATATTAGAACAAAAATATATGCTTTATTGCTATGTAAGTGGTACCTCATATATGTCATCTATTATATATATATCTTACAAGCTTAGAATTATTACTTATTTTGGAGAAATTAAGCATTTTGCCATTATGTGGTGCCTTTTTTATCACTCATAAAGCTATTTGCCTTAAGTCTGCTTTTTTCTGCTATTAACGTATTTTTCCATCATTCTTTTGACTTGCACTTGCCTGTTAAATCTTCTCCTGCCCTTTAACTTCTGATATTTCTTCATCCTTATGTTTGAAAGTGTCTTGTGTAAACAGCATATGCCAGATTATATTTCTTTATCCAGATTATCAATTTTTGTCTTTTAACTGAGGATTTCAGTCCTGTTTTATTTATAGGAATTACTACTGCATTTGAATTTATTTCTAACATCCTGCTATGTGGTTTATACTTGTCTCACTTTTCCTCTTCTCCCTTACCCTACTTTTTGTGAATTAAACAAGATTGCTTTGGTTTGTATTTCATCATCTTGTTTGTTTCGAAGTGATCATATCCGTATCTTTTTGTGGTTTGCCCTAAAATTTTAAGATGCATTTTTAATAATTCTAAAATTAATATTTTAACTCCCTCTTGAAAAATTCAAGGTTTCTAATTTTTTTTTTCAGATTCCAGTTATCTGCCCACCTAATCTAATGCTTGTTTTGTCTGGTATTTTACTTCTAATATGCTTTTTATTCCTGAAAATATAACATTTTTTATTATGTTATAGTGTTAAGGTTTATTTAGATTTAAGTTAAGTTTAATTTATTTTTTTTAATTTTTCTTAAAAAAATTTTGGGGTTATTTATTTTTCTAGTGGAGGTGCTGGGGATTGAACCCAGGACCTGGTGCATACTAGGCGCGCACTCTACCACTGAGCTATATGCCCTTCCCCCAAGGCTAATTTATTTTTATCTACGCATTTATGATGTTTCTGTTCACCATTCCTTCTCATATCTCTTATCTTTTAGACTACCTTTCTCTTACCTAGAGTTTATTATGTAGAATTCCATTCCGTGGGGATCTTCTGGTGGTAACTATCCGTTAAACTGTTGTTTATTACTTTTATTTGAAATATCTTTACTTTGTCTTCATTTTTTGAAAAAATCATTTGGCCACATACAGAATTTTTGTTAAAAATTATTTTCTCTCAGCACGTTATACCCTCGGGCTTCCGTTGTAGAAGCCAGCACTAACCTCTAATTGCCATTCTTTTACAGAAGGTCCATCTTTCCTCTCTGACTGCTTTTAAGATCACCCTTTTCTTTATTCTGTAATTATTCTAATGTGTCTAGGAGTGTGTTTCTTTTTATCTACCCTCCTTCAGATTTGTTGAAGATTAGTGTCTTTCAAGAATTCTAGAGGATTCTCAGCCATTTTCTGTTGAAATTAAATCCCCTCCCCATATCTGACTGAAATCTTTCACTTTGTCCTCTTTTTTTCTTTTTTGCCTTCCACCCCCATTTTAAAATTACTTCCAAATGTATACCCATGATAATGCCACATCCATCTCCATTATTTACCTCTAATTATATCTAGTTGTCTGGTTACTCTATCCATTGAGGTTTTAATTTCAATTCATATATTTTATTTTTCAAAAGTTATGTTTTTTTTCCCAGTCTACTTGCTTCCTGACCAAATTTTCCAGCTTTTCTCTTCTATCTTTAAACATGTTTTGCACAGTTATTTTACATTCGGTGTTCAATAAATAATGTCTGACGCTCTTGCTGATCTGTTTTGACTTTTTTGTGTTTTGCTTTTTTGCTGGTTCTTATGATCCTAATACTTCATTACCTTGTGTGTTTAGTGATTTTTGACTATAAGCTGCTCATTCTCCTTGGACATAATCTGGAAATTCTGAGAGGACTGGGCTGCAGCCGGATTCCTCCAGAATACATTTATGTTTATTCAGTTGGTCAAGTGAGGTATTACCAAACTGAGATCACATTGAATTTTCAGATTTAGATATTTAGGACCACACAAGTGGTATTTGCATTTGAACTGCAGACACAAGTGAGGGTCACTTTATGCCAGGCCAAAGTGATTACCTGGGTTGAGACAGACAAGCTTTCTTGCTCCTCTTTCTCTGTTCACCATAAAACATGTGTAACCTTTTGGGATTCCAGCTTTATTTAAGGATCTCCTATAGGTACCCCACCTTGGTCAAGCCTGGACTTAAACTCTTGTATCCCATCCCCATACAATCTCCAAGGCAATAGCCCAAACTGTCCGCATCTGGCAGAAACTTCCAGGGTGAAAGCAAGCTTTGGTATTCACTTACCTCCCAGAGCTCCTGGTTTCAGTTTGTTAGGGAGCTCCATGTCAGCTCAGAGATGTGTTTTTAAGATTTTAAAATATATTTTGTTCAACATTTCAGTTGTTTTGGATGGGAAAATTACTCTGGCTATCTAATTCACTCTATTGCTGGAAAGAGAAATGATCAAGCTGGTTTATTTTTAGCCAAGGCTAATTTCTGCATCACTCTGCACCTGTGAACCGGAACCAATCTGCATGAGTGTGCATTCCTTTTCTGGCTAAAAAGAATTTTCAGAGAGGCTAACCAACGGACTTCTGTTGGAGAAAAACACATAGCACGCCAGCCTACCCGTCCCAGAGGCTCTCAGAAATGACAATTCTAGCCTACATTTGAAACTATCACATCAAATGTGTTCATAATAATACCTAATGTTCATCAGGGTAAGGCTTATTATCATTTGTAAAACACTAGGTGTATGATATGCATTATCTCAGTTTTCACAACAACCCTCTGAGCTAAGTATTATTATTAGTCCCATTTTACAGATGAGAGAAACTAAAGAGCAAAACGGCCAAGTAATTTTCCCAAAGAATGCAGTGGAAACGGGAGACAGTTGGGCTCCAGCACACATGTCCCTAGCCTTACTGTTAGGCTGTCTCTGTCAGAAGATAAGCAGTCAGTGAAAAACTAGCTTCCTGAGAAATATGGCCCAAATTAGATGATTCAGGGGAGATTATTCCTCTAGCACTAGGTCTCTCAATCTGAGCAGCCCATCAGAGGTACCCAGGGAACGTTTTCAAGACACACTTGGCTCCTCCCAAGAAGAGATTCAAATTTAGTTGGTCTGGGGTGGGGCCCCAACATCTTTATTTCGTCAAGCCTCCCCAGGAAGTCCTGGTGAATTCCCTTGATTAGAATCACCCCTCTGTGGGTTATTCGGGGCCACCACCCTGGATAGCTTCCTCTCTCCCTTTGTTCATGTGTGAGGACACTTTACCAGGTCTCAGCTTCCCAGAAAAATGGGTGTTGGGCAAGAAAGAGTTGTCATCTCACTAGCCACCACCTGGATGTCCTCAGGCAGTTAAGACTCGGGTTTCTGAGTGGCACTGAATAAACCCAGGCTCTTTTGGATCAGCACCGTGTATCAGCAGGTCAGGGCTGGGGGAAGGGGAGTTCTGGCCTAAAGTAGTCATGGGATGGCTTACGCACTCCATATAGCCATCACTCCGTATGTGTGGATATTCGGGAGTGAGAGTCACTGTGAGATGCTGCCACCGAAGTGGTCCTGAATGGTCTCCAGCACATTTTCTGTCTCTGAAAGCCCATCTTCTCTCTATCCTAGTTAAGTGCTTAAGAAAAGCAAGAAGTACAATTTAACTGGGGAAGAGTCACTAAGGGACAAAGTCCTAAAAAAGAAGGAGACCCAGATTGAGAATGCCACCCACCTCCACACACACACCCTTCTGTCAAGGCTGCTGAAGCCATCTGGGCAGAAAGAAGCTGCTTTTAAGGAATTTGGCTTTGTTGGGCCTGCATATAAAATTCCAACACAGATGTTCCTTGGCAACCTGGCACCTGGCTTCTCTGGACAACACGGCAACAACTCTCCCTCCCTGGCTGGTTCTGGCCTTGGGTTTGCATCACCAACTTGGTCCTTCTGTTCAGCACCTCTGTCCCGAGCCCTCCTAACTGCACTGGATCCCTTCCAAGAGTAACCAAATACTTCACCACTGGGCCGAGCCTGGAATCCCTCCTCAATGCTCCCTGCCCTGTGCTTCATAGGGTTTCTCAGCTCTGCTCTGTTCTCTCACAGCATCCCCAGCCCTCAGAGGTCAGGGGCAGGAGTCACTCCATGTGCAGTTATAAAGGTGCCAGGGGAACATGCTGAGCTCTCTGAGGACCCCTGAGAAGCCACAGGCCATGATGCACAACCCAACCTCATCCACTTCGGGCAGGACTCCCCTCAGAGGTAACCCGGCTTCGCCACCAGCCCCAAGCCTGTCTGGATCACCGGCTGAGCCTGGCCGTATCTCCTAGACTCCCAGACCTCCTGTGGCTGCCTCTGTAGGTGAGCCCCAGACAGGTTATCAGATCGCAAGGTCAGGGCTCAGCCAATACTCTGCTTCCCTCTCAGCAGACAGGCCTTAGACAGGCCTCTGGACACAGGGCTGGAGGGGGGAGTGGCAGGGGGACTGGAGGCCAAGAGGACCCGGTTCTGTCTCAAATGAGCCCATGTGCTTAGTGTGTTACCTACAGCATCGTAAGGGCTCATTACCCCGGGCTATTACTGCGGAGTGCTAGGCGGCAATGGTCTTCAGATACCGTGTGCAACACTCTACATATACTCTCCACGAATCCTAATAAAGTTCCTGCAGGATGGGTATTATTATCATCACAATTTTAGAAGTTTAGAGAAAGTGAAGTAACTTGTCCAATGTCACACAGCCAGTGACAGAGTCTGGATCCAAATCCAAATGGGTCCAACTCCAAAACTGGACCCTTGCCTACTACTCCAGGTTGTCATACCTCCTTTACAAAATGGCAAGGTTCTCACTGCACTTGCTTCTTAAAATGACTAACAAAGTACTTTTTTAAAGTCTTAAAAGAGCTGTGAGGGAAAAGGCCAAATGACAATCATTACAGTCAGTGTGATTACTATAACTGAGAATAAAACTGTGCCCTGGCCTCTTCACAGCCCAAAGAGGGAAATAAAGTGGGTGAAACTTGTCTTCCTGGGTCCTCCCTTTCTGGTGGCTCTTGCCTCCACCACACTAGCAGCTAGCTCTCTCCCTCTTCCAGAAGGTTCTAGTGCCCAGTGCTTGATCCCCACCCAGAGCAGCAGCCCGTGCCTCACCCCATCTCTCTTCCCTCAGCCTGCCAGCCATCAGTAATCATTTTTTCCTATATTCTGTGCATGCATAAAAATAAGAGAATAAGCTACATGCAATAAAGGACAGATGTGGGCAGCACAGGTAAGTACAGGGCACAGTAGGGTGAAAGGACGAGTTTGAGGTTTAAACAGGAAGGGCAGCAGGCACGTCTCCAGTGCAGGAAACATCTCCCATGGTGGGCAGGGGTATGAGGGAGAATTCAGAATGTGGGTATCTTTGGAGACCCTACATCATGTGCCCTAGAGCCCCTGTCTGCTCTACCATGGGTTGAGTTGCTCATTCTCTCTTAACAAGTCTGTACAAGGTCAAGCAAGTTTCACTAAATAATCCTGGAAGAACAGGGCTGCTTCCCGGGACAATGAATCTGTTTCCTACTGTTCTGGTGCACAGGGCAAAGGCAGTTAATGAAATCCTATATCCGAGGCAGAGTAGGTCAATCTGTGCTTCCTAATTCCTTGAGACTGAAGGTATTTTGAGCCTGAGAATCCATAGCATTTACTGTAGACTCAATCACCACGTCTCCCACTACTATTAGGAGCCACCATCTCACACAAGTACTGGACACTACTGAGTTTGTTGTCTAGGTTCTTTTGATTTTAAGGAACAAAGTCATAAAGAAGTGCTCTTTGGTAGCAATGCCGTGGAGTGGTGAAGAAGGCAGACTCTTCCACGGTGCTTCAGCCAGATTTCTCCAGAGAAATAGAACTAATAAAGGCAGGAGTTGATGCTGCAGTCTTAAGGCAGCATTTCTTCTCTGGGAAACCTCAACTTTTTCTTTTAGCTGATTGAATGAGGTCCAACCACATTACTGAGGGGGAAATACCCTTAACTTAAATTCAACTGATCGTTAATGTTAAACGCATCTACAAAATACCATCACAGCAAAACCTAGATTAGAATTTGGTTAAATAACTGGGCAGTATACTAGTCAAACTGACATAAAACCAACCAACACACATGCACATCTGGGAACAGGAGTCATCATGGCCTCACGGAGGCAGAAAGGAAGGTTTTCCACACCGACTAGTACCCAGACATTAACGTGACTCAGCCACCTCCCCGTGTCTCCTCTTTTCCCAAGTAGCGAGTTCTTTTTGAACGTTCAGTTCACGTTTCTAAGAGAGAAAATCTATTTATTGAGGCCATTTTTTCATACTAGACAACATTAAGGCCATTGTGGGGACAGACTGTCCTAGAGTCAGGCAACCTCCCCACGGCTCAGTCAGTGGTTACTCCCGTGCAAAGACCAGCCAAGGGCTCCGTCTCAGAGCAGGTGGCTGGAGGCCCAGGAGTTTGAGCTCGAGGAGAACACGGAACACAGCAGACGCCTTACTGCACACCTGCAACACATCCTTCTGTCTTCACGGCTCCCACCCAGCGTTCCAAATCATAACACACACAGCTGCACACAACTCACCTGCTCCCAGCAAGGAGACAATCAAATGTGCACGTCCTGCAGGTATCGTGTGCCACGGCCATGTCACACCGCCACTGACAAAGCTGTTTTTCAGCATCAAGCCCACGATCTCCTGAGGGTACTCACTCTCCTTGTGTTCCCTCTGCTACCATTTCTAGGGGTTATTCCTCATTATTTCGCAGACTCAGGGCAAATGGTGAATGTCACCACCACCAATGCACCTGATAAACATGATGGAAGGAAAACAGAACATTCTTAAGCTGGCAGTAGCTAAAATAATAACATCTGTCTTGTTTTATAAAAATGGTGGTGGCAGAATAGGGTATAATTCCTCAATTTTCAGACACTTTAGCAAGGAGGGGAAAATAAACCTGAAAAAGAGGCAGGGTATGCCCTTAATTCTACAATTGATCCTGAGGCTGTAGTTAATGGACATCTGTAATTCCCTTCACTCATCTTCCAGGTTCTCTTTGTTTTTTGCCCAACTGAGTGATTCTACCTTTTGCTATCAAGAAATCTCTTAGCTGCAAATAACAGAAAATCCAGATAACAGTGGTTTAAATACAGGGATTTGTTTTTCTCATGTAACAAGAAATTGAAAGCAATTTCTGGGGTAGGTTTGGCTATAATGTCAGGTCTCTGGGTCACATCTCCACTCCACTCCTGCCCTTTGCCTCACGATCACAAGATACCATCATGGGCACCTTGGCCATGTTCACAGCAGGAAGACTAGCGAGAGAATGGCACTGGCTAGCGGCTTTTCATCCGCAAAGCCACAGCTTTCCTCTGGGCTTCCAGCAGGCTTCTCCTCCCATCTTCTTGGCCAGAACCACATGAGGTGACAACTCCTGCTACACTGGAAGCTGCGAATCACGTATCTAGCAAAGGGAGAGGGGAACATTATAACTGAGTTAAACCAAATGCAATTCTTTAGCTGGGTCATGACAGATTACCTTCTTTCAATCAAGATGAACAAGAAAGAGGTGGGGGAAGGGTCGCTGATACACCTGCTTACCTGGTGTAGTCTGTTTTCTGTTGGCCTTGACAGTCCCCTGCCCTCTGTTTGACAGCAGTGCCTCCCCTGGATAATCAGCATAGGGCTCCTTTGCCAAGACCCTGTAGGCTCAGCATTTATCACAGTCTAGTCCTAGTTCTAGTTCTGTAGGATTTTACCCTGTGTCTCCATGGAACTGTGTCTCCACTGGGTAGGGAAACTTCCAGACCAACAGAGTCCAGCCACAGCGGTGAGACTGCATCATCGGGTGTAGGCGTGAGCAGCCTCCGGTGTCCACCTGCAGGTTCCTGGCTGTGGGAGAAGACGGCATCGTATAGAGAACTGAGAATTATTAATGAACTCACAGTTGCTTTTTCTCATTATCTATTTGCTCAACCAGTCATTACCAAGCAAGAGTTACATGAGTGTCTGTGAAATGGTTTTGACTTCCAAAAGGGTTCCTGACAAGTGAACGAAGATGGAGGCTCACTGATCCAGCGGGAAGACGCCCAGCAGTGAGAGGCTTTGTGTGTTAAGCCTGGCCCTGCGGCCGGCTAACCAGCTGTCTACTAACTTACTAGGACCTTAGGATTCTAAACTCCGGATCCTATCACTTTCAGGGTTAAACTTTCCTGCTCTTCTTAGCTGGCTTTCATTTTAGGCACTAGGGGTGGACATCTTCTCATTTCCCCTTGAGGGGATGGGCTTTCTCTCTGGACTAACTATTCAGAATGTTGCAGCAGCCTCCCCGTGGTCGTCAGTCATCCTGTATATTCACAACTTCTATTTTCAAAAATTAGAAAAAGAAAAAAAAAAAGGAAGGAGTTCAGTTCAAAAAATCTTAAATCCCCCACCAAAGAAAAATAAAGCCACTTGACACTATCTGGATATTACCGGGGCCTTTGACCCTCTAGGCTAATTGGCAATGCATCAAAAGAATCACAAGGTTCTAACAGAATTCATTAACGCCAAAGTTCATTTATTCACACATGGTGCAGAAGTGATGGTGTACCATGGTGAAATAAATCTTCATTTAAAAAATAAATGTCAAGGCTGTTTGAAGATTTTTTTAAAAAGTTAATTCTTTGGGTTTTTAGGCCTCTCCTTTTTCCTCATGGATGGTTACACAGTGTGCTACAAAGAGCCCAGAGCTGGGAATCCATCATCAAAACCGCCTGGCTGCAGTAACTGTGTGGTCCTAACCAAGTCCTTTTACACTCATTAGCTTTAAAACAGAAAGAATAATAATGAACACTCAGGGCTTTGGTGAGAATAAGATCACACCAGAAAAAATACGGTAGTAAATGCCAAAGTTTTTGTGATAAAATAATGTAATTAAAATTAAAAACTCCTTATGAACTAATATGGAAATGGCGAAAAAAGAATAGTTTGCAAACTATATGATTTGTGATTAACAATTTTGTTTGAAGTTCAAAAGATTCTCTACATCTGAGTTTTTAAAGATATGTTTGCCAAAGTTCAAAGCAGCTGAACTCACATAGTTACACACACGCGCACGCTTCTTTAGTAGGATTTTAGATGTTTGTTTTCATTGATCCAGAAAAAGAGGGAAAATAAATTCTTTTCAATACCGTCATTGTAGTTACTGTTTTACAGGGGTATATGTAAGTCAAAACTTACCAAATTCTACACTTAAAATACAGGCAGTTTATTTATTTTTTAAATTTTTTTAACGTTTTTTATTGATTTATAATCACTTTACAATGACAGGTAGTTTATTATGTATGAATTATACCCTAATAAAACTGTAAAAAAATGACCTCCTAAAAGGTCATTTAACACAGAGGATTATATCCTGGTTGACTCACTCTTCTGGCTTCCCTCTCCTGCATTTTCCTTCATTCCTGGAAATTTTCTGAGGGAACCCTAGCCTTGAGCTGCTTCCAGCTGGAGTTGGCCTGAGACCAAGACTTCACTACCACCTCTGCAGTAATGAGGGGGGAAATGAAGACCGGGAGTCTGGAAGAACCTCTGTTCCTGGTGGGAGCTCAGCTGTGAACTAGCAGGTGGGAATAGAACCAACCAGCTCCTGCCCACTTCTGGAAATCCTGACTCAAACGCTTAGCTTGTCTTTCTCCAGGGATTCAGCAGCACAGGGCAGGCTGTCAGCACATTCCCCAGGGAAATAGATAGGGGTGGGAGGTAGGGGATGCGAAGCATTAGCAGGGCCTGAGTTCAGAGTCTGATGCAAAAGCAAGAAAAGTCTGGTCGCCTTGAAATCCGTGCCTCCCAGCATCCTTCCCCTTGTCCTGATGCTTGGCTGCAGGGCACATGCTGGGGAGGCCAAACACAGGAACAGATGTAACTGAAAGCCATTTTCATCTGGCACAGAGATCTCTAAACCGATAGACTATTTCAAGCGTAATACAGGAAGCGATGAGATAGGACATTTGCCAAAATGACAGGAAGTTTATGCAGGATGCTAAAGAGAAGGCTACTCTGCCCACACTGAGTCCCCCCACCCCACCACCAGCAGCGGTTAATGATTTATTCCCATGCTGTAAGGATTTGACTTTTATACGAAGTGAATTCTTCTAGGAGCATAATGCTCAGATTTATTTTTATTCTCAGGTAGGTTTGAAAAGTATCAGAAGTCCTCCCAGTGCTTCTCAGGATTATCTACCGACTGAATCACCTGATTCGATTTTAAATACTGATACCTGGGTCTCACCTCCATGGATTCTCATTCAGTTGGTGTGCGCTGCAGTCTTGGTATAGCGATTATATTTAAGTTCCCCTTGGTGATCCCAGGGTGATCCCAGGGTGCAGCCAGAGTTGAGAACCACCTCCCTGGGGAGGGTACCCACTTCTGGCTGGTAATTGGAGCCCCTAAGAGCCTGGTGAACATACAGATGTGAGGACCCCCTCCGATTTTATGCTCAGGATCTCTGGCGGTTCATCATGCATCCCTGCATTCATCCTGGGGTGAAGTCCTCCAAGACAGTACCTGCATCTGCTGCTGGCCACTCTCACTTCACCTGGAGGCTGAGCAAGGCCGAAAGGGGTGCTTCTGGATGTGCATTCACGTTACCCAAGGATCTCGTTAAATGCAGAAGCTGATCTGTGTGGAAGGGGTCTGAGATTCTGCATTTCTAACTAGCTCTCACCTAACACCCAAGCTGCCAGTCTGTGGAGCACATTTTAAAGAGGAAAGGACCAAGAGTAGTGGTTTTCAACTGAAAATACTGATGCCTGAGAGATTCTGATTCAGCTGGACTAGGGTACAGCCTGGGGTTTCGGGAGTTCTCCAGGTGATTCTCAGGTGCAGCCAAGGTTGAGATCCACAAATTAGCAAAAACAAAAAGCTATTTTAAAGGGATCTCAGCTTTAGGGTTTTGGCAAACTAATGCTTCAAATTTTTGACCAGAACAAAGAATATATTTTTTTAAGTATATATTATTCCACTGTAGAGAATGGACCTTGAGGGAGAGTCTTTTGTTTGCTGAAGGGATGGTAAAAATGCAGAAACTAGTGGTCAAAAGGGAACTCTTTCTACATAAAGAAGAGCTTGGAGCTCTGAGATAAGATGATCCCAGCATCGAGTACCACCTGGAGAGAGAGAAAAGGCAGCTGCTGTGGGGATGGAAGTTGGGTAAGCGGGAGAAATGTCTACAGAGAATTTTAAGGAAGTTTTGCTGTGTGTAGGGCTATGTACCCTCTTTCCTCAGTGTCCTCAAGAAACCTTAAACAAAAAGCTGGTCCAAATAACATTTAGACTCCGATCCGTGATGGGTTTTGTCTGGGGTCTGCCTGAGTCACCGTGCCTAACAGGGTCTCACGCCAAGCCCGAACGGAAGTGCTGTTACTATCTGTGTATCACAGATGAGGAGCCTGAGGCTTAGAGAAGGTAAACAGTGTGCCCCGAGTCCTGCAGCTGCCGCCCGGAGCCAGAGCTGAGCCCTGGGTTGGCACTGAGTTAATCAACCACACGGCCCAGGTCTTGGGATGGATTTGGATTTGCATGAGAAGAGAAAAGGCCTCAAGTAGAGAAAATTTGCTGCTGGATGCAGGAATACTGTCTCTGCTGAAGGCGGGAAGTCTCCAGCTCAGCAAGACCTGTCACTCAGACCACACTCCAGCCCTGAAACCCGGGAAGGAGAAGGGCTGGAGGGAGAGGAGGATGGAAGTGAAAAGTGTAAAAGCTTTTACTTCAAGGATCTCTGGGCAGAGTTGGGGTCACAAGGCAGCCTGCCTCGAGATCCAAATAACAACGCAACACAGAGGTGGGCCGGGGTCCCCCTACTTCGGCAGGAAACACAGCTTCAAGAGCTCTGTGGAACCCCACATTCATTCACAAAGCATTTACTTAGCACCCACAGTGTGCCCAGCGTTGAGGATTCAGTGATGAGCGATCCCAGCGCTGGAATGAGGGTAGTACTCCTCCCGAGACATGGCGCTCCCTGGGTTCCGGCCCACTGAGGCCAGGCATGCCTCACACCTTGATCTTCACTCATTCCACCAGAGAAAAATTATTTCTAACTTTCCTTGTGCTGCAAGCTTTCTGGAAGCCAAAGACAAAAAGAAAGTGTCCACAAGATTAAAACGACTGCCCAGTGGCTTGGAAGATGTCTCTCTCTTGCTGCTTTAGGATTGCACACAGTGTAATATTGCCCACAAATCACCAACATCTTATTACAAGACTTCCAAGGGTTATTTCTTCCATGGCTCCTCAATATAAGTTTGTGTATCAGGCCAAAAGTCATCCCCAAAACAGTTCCACAGAGGCCCACTCAGCAAGGACATGCCTGGGGGCAGCTTCTTCCAGGAAGATGTTAAGGTTATAATTCTTGAATGTGGGGGTGGGTGGGGTGTTGAGCTTCCCTTTGAGAATCTGAAGAAAGCTGTGTTATAGTTCCCTGGGAGGAAGTGGACATTTTACACAAATACAAAATGCTGCCTAGGATTCCTGTTCCCAGAGCCCTGAACCCCAGTCACAGACGTGTTATGACTTGTGGGACCCAAATGGTGAACACCTAACCCAGAGGAATG